ATCGATGCCCTCGATGCTCTAGTCATGGATCTTGACTTTAATTTTTCAAGATATGTGTTGAATGAAATGAAGAATAATCTACAGGGGAAGAGAAAGGGCATCTTTTTATTGTACCCAAGGTTCCTCCAGATGATCTTTAGCCAAATATCTTGAATTGAAAGGAAGGGGAGAAACTTTAGATTTGAAGTCTCTGGGTCCTAGCACTTTTGGCCTAATGAAGCAAACCCGCAAGGGTTCAAAATTTGTGTTTCAAGGAACGAGGCCCTTAGAGAAGTTTGGTTGTTTTGCTGAGATTCGTGAGGATTCAGATTCAGAAGAAGCCTCAAATGATGAAGATGATGAAGTTACTGTCTCTGATCATGAAGATGACACTACTCCTCATGTAGCAATTATTGTAGAGGAACATGTCCCCATGGTTAATGTTGATGATGATAATGATGATGATGATGATGAAGATGATGATGAAGGTGATTTTGGGATGGATCTAGGGGATAATGCCTTAAGGTTTGATGATGATGCCTTCTGTTTTGATTTCGAGCCGAATGATGAAGACCTCAATTCGTTCTTTGATAATATCGATGATGTTGGAGTTTCACTAATGGAGACTCAGGGAGAAACAAATATTCTCAAGTTGCCACAACAAACACCCGATCAGATGGCCGATTTTATTGTTGATTTGGATTCAACTATGAGGCTTCCTCCCCAAGCAGTTACTACTCTAACCGTTATTCCATCTGAGAGTGATATACAAGAGACACAAGCCTCCCAGCCTCCACTTAAAAGAAGAAGAGCATATCCAAGGATAAGAGTGCTTATCAAGGAACAAGTTCAACCAGTCCAACAATCAATTGCATCTGTTTCACCAACCCAACCAACTCATTTTGACAACCAAATGATGCATGAGGAGCCCAACATTGTTCATACTTCTTTTGAAGCCGGGAGATCTTCAGCTCCTAGTGGCTCATCAACTCCTCAACATGCGCACGATGCAACCTCTGAACGGCTTGCCAGATTTTTGGCTCGTGAAGGTGTTGATCCTGCACCCAGGGGCAAAGGAATATCAATTGGTGCAGGGAGCCCTGTCAAATAAGACTCAACTATTTTTTAACTCGAGGAGGAGATTTGAGTATTGAGTTAAAATCTCATTGAAAAATATGTTTTGATTGGAACTCTAGACATTAGAGTTTTCGAGCTCGAGAAAGAAAATACACAAAAATCAAAACAAATCTCTGACTTGTAGCTTAATCTTGGTGCTTTAACTGTTGGTTATTTTTATTTAAAGAATAAGTTTATAAGTGAATTTGGCAAAAAATTCAAATCATCGATCAGTGAACCCAATGAAGTTGAGGCTTCCCATTGTGCCCCTGTCCAAGCGACTTAAGATCCTCAAGATGCTTCTCAACCTGTCAGAACGACCCATGTTGTTGATCGTTTTGAAACTGAACCTGCTCAACCTGTTCCAAGAGTAACTTTAAAGTGAGCTCAGAAGAAAATATCTACATAATGAAAAAGGAATCTGCTCTTCATGAAGAATTCTAATAAGAATGTATATGGAGATAAGCCCTAACTGAATGTGACTGAGCTCAGGAAGAAATGATTGAAGGTCAAGTACAGAAACCGGTCTGGAATTTTAATGTGGGGATTTCATGATATATTATATATATGGGTGGTGAGGAGGAAAAGTGGAAATTTGGAGTACTATGAACACAAAAATTACTTTAACTCTTGGACTAAAGTTGACCTTACTGAACTTGCTGAAGCTCCATTCCATAATCCATCAAATGATCCTCGCGGGTCTGATTTCAAACTCTTTTTAGAGAACCAAGTAAGGAGGAAATTAGATGGAATGAAGACTTCATATTCATTTGTAAAGAAATTCAAAGGCGTCTTTGATCCCAAAACCAACCGGACAGTAAAATCTGTGATGTGGCCTCCCACAAAGGAAACGAGTCAAATTCCTATTGTTTAGCAGTTCCAAGACGGGTCTCTACACAATATGGAATATTGGGTTTATGATGAGGCCACAACCACCGCAATCATCAAATTCCCTGAAGGTGTTTTCTGTCTTGTTGAAGCCAAGGATCTTCTGCAGTTTGGGGAGCGTAACATCCATACTCTAGCACAACATCAAATCGTGGTCAAGAATGATCTTTCGGAGGTTGATTCCAAAGAGTTTATTGGTATGGTCGCAGAGATAGTTAACAAGAAGATGTGGTTGGGGGCAATGGGAAGATCTGATGTGCTGCTCATTGAGAAGGATTGAATTTATGTTAGCCTCAAACCAAGGGGGAGACTGTTAGGACATGTTTTGTTGGTTTGAGCTAGGAATTTATGGTTTGTAGTCTTTGTTACACTTTGTTTAGGTGTTTTGTGGTTTTTCGGTTGGGTGGACTGAAAACGTCCCGTTTTCACTCCATGTGGTGTTTTCGGCTGCAACACTTTTGTTGTTACTGTTCCATATAAATAGTGTCTTAGTTTGTTAGTTGTCAGGAGTCGTTTTCGGTCAACTGTGTGTGTATTGTCCATTCTGCCTGACGTTTTCGGTTGATATAAAACTTGTGCAATTTGGATCAATTATGTTTATACCCCTTCTTGTTCTTATCATCTTGGCTTGTTTATTTGTTGATCACTAGCTGGTTCTTAGATTTGGGGACTTACAAAGTCTGACCTTTGCCCCATCGGGACAACTGCTAGTGTGGAAGGCGTTAGCGACATCCGCTAACCATCCTCTGCTTGCGATCGGGTCCTTCTCCCCAAAGTACTCTGGACCCCTACATGCTCAAAACTCACAAAAGGTTAATGTGTGAGCTCCTATCAATACCACCATGTTAGACTGAAAAGCGCTCAAACTCTAATCCAAAATCTCCATAATGCCCTCCTTGACCGTACCAAAGGTCACAAGACTCTGGTCAAGTATGTTACGGGTAATCTCAGATGAAATGAACTCCTACGTCTGATCATTCAACTGCCCAGCTCCAGAACCCAAGCCTAAACCCTCACCAGCACAAGAACTACTAACCAGTATGCCTCGAAAGGTCGCCATACTAAAAATTGACCATACAAACCACCAAAACACACACACACACACACACACACACATATATATATATCGGGGAGTCTCATACTCTAAATGCTTCCTGTTTTCATAGCAGCTCTCCTTGGCTCGAGTATGGATCCTATGCTTCCAGTATTATTAGCCCATACTACCTTCCACATCTATCTGTACTTTCCTCAAGGATCACTTTGAATCCTCCAAGTCAGTCCTTATATATACATACAATCCTCAAAATGACAAGGCTCCCAACACTAAATCTCTTCCTAGGTTTTCCTAGGGCAACCACCATACTACTCCTCGCCATAGCTATAGAAGGAACTCCCCCTAACATCCTATAACTAGCTCACGAGTATAATTACATATCGCTAACACTAGATAATTCTTCGAATGAAAGGTCTCACACTATAATGGTTGGACTCAGACAAGAGTTGCACAATAGAGTTAAAACCTAACCTTCTAAAATTATTTAGTCTAAAAAATATGTAACTTAGTATATTCTCTTACTAGTTAGCTGGAGCTAATGGGAACTCCTAAAAGCACAAAGCAAGAAAAATTTGAGCATTGAGTAATCAGAATAAGCATAACCTAAATAGAGCATCCTATCACTGACTGATTAGTACTAGCATGCTAGTTTACAAGCTCTTATAGTAGCCATATAAAGGCATCTCTCCTGGCATTCTATCATGCACATCCTGAGCAGATCCTTAGCCCTAACTAGCATGTGATTCACAGATTCACAATTAAAAGCATGTCATAAAACATGTATGTATATTTTGGAAAAACTTACTTGAGCTCGGTCAATTGCATGAACCACACCCCTTTTCTTTTAATAGAAAACCCTTTTTATAAATATTTCTTTTTGAGAAATTCTACCAAACCCTCAGTTTGAGTTCAGACACACTCGAGAGTATACCTGAATCCCTCAAACTAAGACTCTGATACTATTTGTAACGTCCCAAAAATTAAGACTAAAAGTTTTAATTTTTAAAATTACTAAAACCATTATCCAAAACAACATCTTAAAAATCATGGTGAATCAAAGTGTATCAATAAATATCCAAGTACATCAGAGTAATATAAAATGCAGAACAATATGGTGTGTGCATTGTAATCATCCTGAGCTCTTCCCCTTCGATCCATAAGTACTTGAAACATAAATTGAAAACTATAAGCACAAAGCTTAGTGAGTTCCCCAAAATACCACATACCGTACATATCAAACATATAATGGGCCCCACCCGGCATCGAGCCCTGCTCGAAACAGATCTATCAGTCATCAGGCCCCGCCTGATATACATACAAACATATAAACACATGCAAAAATGACAAAGATAAATAGCATACAAAATAATCATCAAGTCCCGCCTGGTATACAGATAAACACATAACACATGCAAGAGCACATACAACTAGCATCCTAAACATAATAAACCATGGGCTAGCATTGATGCCTTCGACCTGCTAAACCCATTGAGGAAACTCATCTCAAGCCCTGAATCTCTCAATAAATCTTGGTTTGCTGATTCGGAAAATCCCCACTCTAACATCATCAAATATTATCCAATTAATATTTGGATCTCGACCATAGTCTAGAATCAAAGTTACTTGTTCCATATCAAGGGTAAAGACCATTTTACCATTTTCTTACTTGTCCCAAAACCAAGGCCCAACCTATTTGCTATAAAGGCCCAAAGTCCTAAATGGCATCCCAAGGCCCAATATGGCTCAACTTTCTAATTAGGCCCTAAAACCATCATGGACCTAATTCCAAGAAAGCCTATAGTCTATCCATGACCCAACAAGGCCTAAACCCTAAAAGCCTAAAATATAGCCCAAACCCGAGGAAGTCAACCCAA